TAATTTTGCTGGTCCCAGCTCTTTATATTTCTTTGGTTTTTTACACTGATATAATGAGAAACCTGATATAACATTAGGTAATTTTCATGGTCCCAAGGACCTCGTTATAAAGAGGTTCCAATGTAGTAGTAGTAGTAGTAGTAGTAGTAGTAGTAGCAGTAGTAGCAGCAGTGGCAGCAGCAGTAGTAGTACTGTAGTACTACTAGTAGTAGTTGTAGTAATACAAGACTAGTAGTAGTAGTAGTAGTAGTAGTATAGTAGTAGTAGTAGTAGAAGTAGTAGTAGTAGTAGCAGTAGTAGTTTTATATTTCTAAAATATTTATAAAACTAATAATGCTTAACCTTGAAATTCTACATATAATTGGAACATACATACTCTACCCAACCATGACTACCTTGACATGAACCAATGAATAACCACTCGTGCATGAACGAAAACAGAGCTTCTCAAAAAAGGTGTAAAATTAAGATGTGGTCAAAACTTTGCCTGTATCTTTTGAATCTAGTAAAGGAAGTCATCTCATTTTGGTCTGGGTCCTCACAAATGAAAGCAAAGAAAGAACATACATGTGGAGATCTTCGGTTCTGAAATTAATCCCGATGTAGTCATTTTCATTTCGATGTCTATTCTGGGATGAATAGGGACAGTGCCCAATGTTATGCAACACTACAACCTAGTGGGTCAGAATGTAATCGTTATACTTTTCCTACATTTCTCATGAATAAAAACATTAAACAATGAATTATTATAGCACTAAATGAGCAAATTAGCATTATTTACTCTTGTCACAAAGAACACTGATGTAGCCAAATATGTACACCATATAAAAGGCAATGCTGTAAAATATTCCAATAACAGGAATAACAATAACAAAAGTTCAACTAGATGCAAACGTGCAATCCATATATATGCAAGATTAGATAGTAAAATGACATCTAAGTGTCTTTGTAATATCTGTGCTTGTGGAATCAAGTTGATGCTCTTCAAAAACACTTCGAAAAGGGATTGTGCTCAAACTGACATCATTATCAAGTACTATAAATACCCTTTGTCTAATAATATGTAGTTCACTCTAATAAACTTGAATTGAACTTGAAGTTTGACTGCATAACTACACTTCACTGTACAGTGTGCAACCAATCATTTCTAATGTCCAAACCTTCATCATGCACTGAAAGCAGTTTCATCATTACATCATTAATTAGATACATGTCATCTTCATTTGATCCTGAATTAAATTTAAAGGTAATACAAAGTTTTGGTATATGGGTCATGAATTTTGTTCGAATGTACATATTGGAAGCATATATACGATCCAACAAAACACAATGATCGTTGTCGCTGTTGTAATCGAGTCTAAAGTGATGAAATTGTAGATAATAAACTCTTTATGTTGTATAGCGCCCTCTCCGGATTGATATTACTTTAGCTTTAAAGCAATGTTTCTTGACTATTCTTTTGGAAACCTAATATCAGAACTGCATATTCCGAGATTTTCATGGTCGCAGCTACGTTATATGACCGTAGGCGCTATTTGAAATTTATCGGGAGCACCGATAAATTTCATATTAGAATATCTCGAAATCCAAAGCGTTTTAGAGCCCAATTTATTCAGAGGCGGTTTTTCGTACACAAGGTTTTACAATGATAATGAAATTTAAACGTTATTCTCCGACCCTAGTGAAATATTCCCAAAACTTTGTATTACCTTTAATATTCATTAACTTGCATACATCCAGGTTACAAAATGTCCACTATATAACCATTTAGCACTTTCTTTAATACATACACTAAGTCAATGGCAGGGAAAACCGAAATAAACTAACTTCATTCAGGCTCATTAATCATCATTACACCAATGTTTCAACTGACCTCTTTGCCCACCATATTAGACTTTCATCAATTCAGCTCTATCACAAATTAGAGCAAGTTACAGGTTGCGCATGTGCAGATAAAGGACCAGGCTTGACACTGAAACAAACGAGGATGAGTCCTTGTGCAAGCTCTTTCATGAATATTCATTTAGAAGCCACATACCTACTGGAATATACAGGTGAAGGTACATGTATTGTGCCAAAAAAGGCAACAAAAGATGTTAATCAGACCATATGATCTGACCCAACTAATATTATTAGTTTAGGAAGCTCCTCTCTCTGTCATCAAAGTTTTTCTTTGCTTTATTCCTTTCGTTCATCACCTTATTTCTTACCGCCTGCCATTCCATGGTGATTTGATGTCTTTGCAGGAAAGTGGTGCAGGCCTTCCTCCCTGGGTATGAAATAAGAACAATACATTCTAAATCCTTTGTCATCATCGATACTATCTTAGGTTATTAAATAGGAACTAGTCGACTGGTATGCCTCTGCCCTCTCACGCACTGCATATATTGAACAAATTTGCATATTTGCACTATCAACTCATATGAAATTTCAATACTTATTATTAATTTGACTAAGCTATCTTTCAGAGTACATGAAAAGCCAATTAATGTCAATTAAGTGCACTTTCTCCATAAATGCTGGAAACTGAAGAAAAAAAGTAGAACTCCTGGAAAAAAAGTTGCATATGTGCATAATCAAATAGGAATAACAATAAATTTGACTATGCATTTTTGTAAAACAAATAATCCATGTATACACACATGCCACACATTGATATATGGCCGAGGTCCGAGATGGGGGTGGGGAAATCAAATGAGTCCTGAGTTACTTGTCATGTCCTACATGACCGTCTCACCAAGTTTAATGACATCAATCAAGTCATACTCAAATTATCGCGTAAACGAAGAACATCTGATGGATGGGGGAATAACCCCCCCCCCCCCCCCCCCCCCCCCCCCCCCAGCTATTGCAGTGTCACTCAAAATCAAATTTATTAATTGCCAAGTCCTACTCAAAGTTTGATGATATTCCATCAAGTCATACTTGAGTTATCACGTAATTGTTCAAAACTGAAGGAGTAGTTCGCGACGCAAGATCCCCCCCCCCCCTTTGTTTGTCATAATATGCCATTACCATGGCAATGCACTTTCTGCCACTGTCATCAACTTCTGCCAACACGCTGATTCCTATATACTTCGTTTGGCAGGGGTATAATAATGACTAGACCTTGAAACTAGTAAATGGAAGCTACCAAAACTGAAAGCTGGGGATCCCTGGAACTTAGTTTCTTGGAACACAATATTCTGATTTTTATATAAATTATATGCACACTTCTAATACATGCCATACCAGTTTCCTGCCCTTTAAAATGACAACAAAATTACAACTTTTCTCAACCCTTTGCCTAAAGATGCACTTAAACATAAACACAAAGAAGCTTACCTGTAATGGTTTCCCTTGTTTGATTGCTGCAGAGAAATACTGCTTGCACTGCTTGCTTCCCTGCTTTGACCAGCGGTTGTACCTTCGGGCTGTAATGACATAACATATAAGCCTTATATACTTCTACGCTTCAGACATGTTTCACAGTTTGTCACATGTTGTGCCTACATCTATGAAAGATGTTTGAAAAGAAGAAAAATACTTTAAAACGCACAACACTCCGGTTGCAGCTTGCATGACTACCCTCCCCTGAATTTGCTTTATCTCATGAAACATAACCACAGCATCGGGACACCTACATGTACCAATTTATTTATGGGCAAAAGATACTGTAATTTAAACAGGGTGATTAATGTTTTGCAAACCTCAAATCCCCATCTCATATGATGTGGCAAAAATAAAATAAAAAATACTCAAAAAGAGCCCAGTAGACTAGATGCTCACCTGAATTTCGCAACCTCCCCATAGTGCCCCAAGGGGGAAAAAAAAGTTTGTAAATTTGCTCAGGGGCCTATAGTGTGTCTGCTCATCAACACCCCAAGGCAAACATTTGTGCCAAATTTCACTAGAATTGTTCAAAAACTGAGGAAGTAGTTCACGACACAAGATTCGACCGACCGCGCGACCGCCCAACCGACTGCACGCTGATTCCAGTATACCCCCTTCAAACAAAACGGATGGCAAAATCTCACTTGAGCATTCTGCTCACATGGGCTAAAAAATATGGAATAAATCAATCAACAAGCTGTATGCATGCGCACAGGTAGTTAGAGCCCATGTGTCCCTCCAACTTTTAAATGTCTAGGCCAAATACACCTTTACCATTACTCTCGCAGTTGCTAGATTCAAATTGTATCCATATCACACAATCTTTCAGTATTTACAATGGTTGCTGGGAAAACTTCTCATTATGGTCAGCTATAAACTTTTCCCATACAGTGTTGCGTTCCTGAGCAGATCCAATTAGTTTTACACCAATATTTGTCATATAAATGCATGAATCTACTACTTTTTTTTTCTTCATGAATCTCCATTGTATCATATGCTGAAACCTTTATGAACTGATTCATTCTACAAGAACCAAGTTTTGAACTCATGCCTATGATTCTCAACAATACAATACAACTATGAATTCAGCACATGTGATAGTTGAACTGCAGAGTTAATGGGAACAACTCCCTGTTTAATATCAAAGCAACAATGTGCAAAAAAAAAAAACACTTCGCTTTCATATTACCTGAAGACCTATCCCCAGAGGTCAATGTTGCAGTAGAGCAGCCATCCTTTGAGGTCGCTGGTGTAGTTGAGCTGCCATCCTCAGAGGTCACTGTTAGAGTTGAGTTGCCATGCTCAGAGTTCACCCGTGCTGTAGAGCAGCCATCCTTTGAGGTCGCTGGTTTAGTTGAGCTGCCATCCTCAGAGGTCACCGTTAGAGTTGAGTCGTCATGTTTAGAGTTCACCCGTGCTGTAGAGCAGCCATCCTTTGAGGTCGCTGGTGCACTTGAGCAGCCATCGTCATCAGACGCTTCAGATTCTTTGCGTGCCCTCATTCCTATGGGAAGGGAAAGACATATAAAATGCGAACATCAATAATTTGCATACACGATATAACAACAGTCAATATAAGAGAGAGAGAGCATAAACAAATTAACAAATTTGTAATAGTGCAATCAAACAAATACAAAATAAATATATACCAAACACAAAGAGTTTATGAAATAAATAAATAGTAAATATCACTTGATGAACATTTTTGTTTTCTGCGTTAGGTTTGCTTCAGATTTGGGAATATGAAATGGTGCAAGTTTTTTCCATCAATATTTTGCAATTGTTTTCATATAAATGTACAATTGGGTGTATCATTTACTGGTTGTTTTGTTGCTCGATGTTATTATCCTATATGCTATCCCAATTCAAAATTATATCAGCTCTTATTTCTATTACTACTGCCTCGCTGTTATAAATCTGAACTCGAGATAATCATAAATTTGCTGTACATATAATATGGTACATTGAACCAATGCAAAATTTGTATAAATGTTTACCTACCTCCTATATCTATATGATGGAGATGACTCCCTACTCGGGTGATTTCTTGGATGGCAAGTGGGGTCTGGTAGATTGTTTGATTGATTGTAGAGGAGTGTCCCATATGCCGGTAAAATAGTTCCAAGTCAGCATCAGGCAAGTCGAGGGATGCGTAAATTGTAGACACTCTGTGCCTGTTCTTGGTGGCATTCACCGTAACGTTGGACGAAAGGCTGATGTTGTCTGAGACATTCTTTAGAGCATGCCACCCTCCAACATGGTCATGAGACATTTGAGTACAAGCGAATATGTACTTATTATCAGGTCTTATTCCTGCTGTATGCCGGATTTCCTGATCACATAGAAGTTGCACAGGTTTCACAGTGTCTCTTGGGAACAGGACTGGAACCAAGCGATTAGTGCCCTTCCCAGTCTGGTAGCATATCTTGAGCTGAGATAAAAGTTCCTGATGGGCTGGATTTTTAACTTCATGAATCTTGTCTTTCTGCATCCATACACCCTCTTCTGCATCTCTCCATTCTTCGGTTGTAAGCCTGCTGGGTTCTCCACCACGCCTTGCATTCCACAATGTCAATCGCGAGCAAGTCAGATCTCGTAACTCTACAAATGTGTGAGAATCCCAAACCAGGAACTCATCAGAGATGATTTCTGTGACTTTCTTTTGAGTGTATGTCTTCAATGCTTCAATGTCAGCCTCAAGCGGGAGCTCTGCAGGCTTCCTCAAACGCACTTGGCGATTCTTTTGGATTTCGTAGTGTGCATCCCCAAAAATCAAATTCTGGTTCAAGTCAAGAATCTCTACGAACTTGTCAATCTCAGATGCATCTTCATCTAGCCTGGATACAAGAAAACTAGCTTTAGTGATTTTGCTAGCTTTTTTCAGCACAAAGTACAAGCAGAGTTTCAGTCCTGGCTTTAGTTTGCCTTCAGTTTCATCATAAGTGAGCGTCTGGATTGCCTCTGTCAAAGATTCGAAGTGCTCTCTACTGAACATGTCTCCAGCATGTCCCATTGTGAGATCTGCAGTCCCATGAACCTCGTGTTTCTTCTTAAACTCAGTGTATAAGGTGGCAAGTCTTCTCATATCAGCCATAACTGATTTTCTTACTTCAAGTTTCTTGTCTTTTTTGGATCTGTGTTTAGTCCACAGTCGATGTCCAACATTAACTATCACTTTGTCCGTTCTACACGTATTCCCAACGTCATCATTCTGGAATCTACTAAGTATGTCAGTGACAAAGTCTGGGTGTTTTTGATACACTGGATCTTTCCCTTCCATGAGGTTTACTGGTACTCCTTCAGATGGAGTGCATATATCACCTTGGCAAACTTTCCTGTGATGCCAGAAGAAATGTGAGCTGTAAAAGCCCTTGCAGTTACTGCACATTTTAAGGTTGTCATCATTCCCTGATTTTGGTAACTTTTCTCTTTCATAAATAGGGTTGTCATCTTTCATACGTTCTCTATTTACTTGGTATATGCCTTCCTTCCTGAACTTTGAGAACACCTTGTCTCTCTCCCGCTTTGGCAGCTGCATGGCAGATTTCACCTGCTCCTTATCCTTATGTACCAAACAAATGTGTCTCGAGAGCTTTTCACCACAAGCTTTGTTGCAGAAAGGGCATGGCCTTGATGGCTTCTTGTACCTTGTTTTCTTGTCCTCGTGTTTGTGTGTCGTTTCCATATTATCATTGGTTTTCTGATGTGGCAATTCTGGCCCTGAAAATGATCCTGGAAGGCACTGTTTATAAATCTTTGTAGGTTTTTCATCTGGTGTAGATATAACAGAAGATGGTCTCTTGCGCACTTGAACATTTCTTGGATGAATCTCAAGAGTTGCCTCATCATCACTGCTGTATTCCTCGTTGCTACCCTCCTCTGGTCGATATGTTGGATCAAGGTCAGATTCATCACTGTCAAAATGATTTTGGAGTTCACTTGATGATTTAGATAGGTTAGGGTAGATGAACCTTCTTGGGCGTGTGTACTGCTCTTCCTCATCTGAGGAACAACTTGATGGAGATACACAGTTTTGTGGATGCTCAGATTGTTCTAATCCTTTGAACTCTCCTTCGACTGGTTGGTGTCCTTGTGTCTCTCCTTGTTGGAGTCCTGGAGTCCCTCTTTCTTGTTGGTGGACCTGTGTCTCTCCTTCTTGTTGGTGGAAATGTATGTCTCCTCCTTGTTGGTGTCCTATAGTCCCTCTTTCTTGTTCGTGTCCTTGTGTCTGTCCTTCTTGCTGATTAATCTGCATCTCTCCTTCTTGTTGGTGTCCTAGAGTCCCTCTTTCTTGTTGTGTCTCCCTGTGCTGGTGGATTTGTGTTCCTCTTTCTTGTTGATGCCCTAGAGTCCCTATCTCTTGTTGGTTGACTTGTGTCTCTCTTTCATGTTGGTGGCCCTCTGTCTCTCTCTTCTTGCTGGTGGACATGTGTATCTCCTCCTTGTTGGTGGACATGTGTCTCTCCTTGTTGGTGGACATGTGTATCTCCTCCTTGTTGGTGTCCTAGAGTCTCTCTTTCTTGTTGATGGACTTGTGTCTCCCTTGTTGGTGGATTTGTGTTCCTCTTTCTTGTTGGTGGTCCTCTGTCACTCCTTTTTGGTGGACTTGTGTCTCTCCTTGTTGATGGATTTGTGTTCCTCTTTCTTGTTGGTGGTCCTCTGTCACTCCTTTTTGGTGGACATGTGTATCTCCTCCTTGTTGGTGTCCTAGAGTCTCTCCTTCTTGTTGGTGGACCTGTGTCTTTCCTCGTTGGTATATATGTATGTCTTCTCCTTGTTGGTGTCCTAGAGTCCTTCTTTCTTGTTCATGTCCTTGTGTCTGTCCTTCTTGCTGGTGGCCCTCTGTCTCTCCTTCTTGTTGGTGGACCTCCATCTCTCCTTCTTGTTGGTGTCCTAGAATCTCTCTTTCATGTAGGTGGCCCTCTGTCTCTCCTTCTTGTTGGTGGACCGCCATCTCTCCTTCTTGTTGGTGTCCTAGAGTCTCTCTTTCATGTAGGTGGCCCTCTGTCTCTCCTTCTTGTTGGTGGACCTCCATCTCTCCTCCTTGTTGGTGTCCTAGAGTCTCTCTTTCATGTAGGTGGCCCTCTGTCTCTCCTTCTTGTTGGTGGACCTCCATCTCTCCTTCTTGTTGGTGTCCTAGAGTTTCTCTTTCATGTAGGTGGCCCTCTGTCTCTCCTTCTTGTTGGTGGACCTCCATCTCTCCTCCTTGTTGGTGTCCTAGAGTCTCTCTTTCATGTAGGTGGCCCTCTGTCTCTCCTTCTTGTTGGTGGACCTCCATCTCTCCTCCTTGTTGGTGTCCTAGAGTCTCTCTTTCATGTAGGTGGCCCTCTGTCTCTCCTTCTTGTTGGTGGACCTCCATCTCTCCTCCTTGTTGGTGTCCTAGAGTCTCTCTTTCATGTAGGTGGCCCTCTGTCTCTCCTTCTTGTTGGTGGACCTCCATCTCTCCTCCTTGTTGGTGTCCTAGAGTCTCTCTTTCATGTAGGTGGCCCTCTGTCTCTCCTTCTTGTTGGTGGACCTCCATCTCTCCTTCTTGTTGGTGTCCTAGAGTCTCTCTTTCATGTAGGTGGCCCTCTGTCTCTCCTTCTTGTTGGTGGACATGTGTATCTCCTCCTTGTTGGTGGATTTGTGTTCCTCGTTCTTGTTGGTGGTCCTCTGTCTCTCCTTGTTGGTGGACCTGTATGTCTTCTCCTTGTTGGTGCCCTAGAGTCCCTCTTTCTTGTTCATGTCCTTGTGTCTGTCCTTCTTGCTGGTGAACCTGCATCTCTCCTTCTTGTTGTTGTCCTAGAGTCCCTCTTTCCTGTTGGTGGACTTGTGTCTCTCCTTCTTCTTCTTCCCTTTGAACTTGTCCTCTGAAATGCTGAGGGGAAAAATAATTAGAAATTAGATGAATAAAGCCAAATAATGAGTAGAAACTTGTCCAAAATGTAATCAGTTTAGCTATATCACATGGGGCAATTTTTAGTATTATGGGTAATGTACAGAGGTAAAGAATTGAATCTCACATACATGACTTGTATTGCTTTGTCTATCATGGGTTACAAGCAAAAACATGAAAAGGTAAAATTTGACTTTTATCACATCTGATAATAATCTTGTAATTTCCATCATACTCTAAATTTATCAAAATTAATTTTACCTTTTTCTTCCACGGCAGTTCTCGAACTCCATAATTGTACAGAACTTCGGTCCCTTTAGATATGTTCTTTGTAGCAATTATCCACATGTGTGGATGTGACTTCATATCTAGTATCTTCATTCGGGCGTTCTCCTCCCTCCCTTGTCCATGATTCACGAGGCGGCCGAGTCTATCCCCAAAAGCACACTCATCAGTTGCATCAAGACTGTATTCCAAAGAAAAGTGTACAATATTGTATGTCATTCAACTAGATGGATGTTCGACTGCGCGCAGTCGAAAATGATGCCTCCACTATTGCGCGATTTACATATTAAGCCCAATTACATAACGTGATCACAAGCTCTTATTGCATATATAATGAGCCCTGTGACCTTTGACCTCATAACCCAAAAATCGAATTAGTTCATCATTGGCCCCTTAAGGTACATACATGGGCCAAGTTTGGTGAGAATCCGTCAATCGGTTCTTGAGATAACACGACCACAAGCTATTTATTGCCCTATGACCTTTGACCGCATGACCCCCAAAATCCAGCTTTAGTGAGGATGGGATGAACCATCCAAAAGTAATATGTAGATTTAACATCTTATGTACAAATTTAACATTTTGTACACAAAGTCTGAGTGACCTTTGACCACACTAAAATGTATAGGCCTCCCTAGCTAATGCATCTACCATTCAAATTTGGTAATGATAGGACGAACCATCCAAAAGTAATAGGTAGTACACATACGGATGGACAGTGCCCGTTTCATAATCTCCTAATAGGAATAAAACGTGCAAACTTACCAGTAGCTTTGTCCTTGATGCTTAAAAAAAAACGAAAACCAGATGATTCCTCCTCCTCACGTTGGTTGCCTTCTTGGGCAGATATAAGTTGGCCTGGGTACTCCAACAAAAACTCCCTTTTGAGATGTCTCTTTGTGCCACTATCCCTCTTCCTGTAAGAAAAATTACAGTAAGACATCATTACACCAACATTATGGTACCTCTAAACAACGATAGTTGATTGTTGACGTCACAGCTGAAAGTCATCTTCAACAAAATATTGATTTGCAATTTATTTCGTGCAATTTACTTTCAGGCGCACATCTAGACATTGTCCCTATATACTCTATATGTAGTAAATAAGGATGTCCAGCTCAACTCAATTTGTTTTGTTTCTCACTGTTTTCATTTTGGACACCCTCCAAGAGTTGGGTTTGCAGGTTCTGTACATTGTAGAGTTTGAGGAAGTAAGGATTACAAAAAGTATCCAGGAAGTGTGTCTGATTTTCTTATGCCAGATTCACTATTCTATTTCTTTTATGTTGAGATGGAAATGGCAGGAATTTATATGTTTCCAAAAATCACAGTGCCAATTTGATCAGTACAATTAATTTTGTCAGAATATCTTGACAATGTGTACTCGGACAGACGGTGTGAGTTGCCATTGACACCAATATATGTTATTCGATCATACCGGTGTTTACACAATGCCATGTTCCAAACAGTAAAAAAATGATGTATGTAAATATGCCTGGTCAATCTTCGGGATAAAATTGGCGGCGCACAACATGCCATCGAACAGCGCCTTCTAGAACACCAGGTATACATGTACATCCCTTTATGTTATCGTGGTAAGAAGAAATATGGACGGACAGACGGATAACCTAAAAACAGAATGCCTCCGGCACCACTTCATGTCGGAGGCATAAAACAAAAGAACTTGAGTTGAAATGAATGTGCAAAATATGCAAATTATGTTGTTAAGTTATGTTTCTGCTGTGACATCAATCAAATATTGTTGGACAGTATACGACCTAAACTTGTAGCAGCCCCATGAAACTTAATTATGAATTAAAAAATGATGTTGCTTACCTTTGTTCTCAAACAGCTTGACAATGAAGTGAGGAGGGTCCTTTTCTTTCTCTGTGTATTGTGCTGCTACCTCAAGGGGGTTGGGTTTTCCAACACCACAATGTCTTCTTCTGGTCAGCATGTCTAAAAGGGTTAGAGAAAAATAGAAAATGAAGACAAGGCCTATATAAACCAAGAATTATAACAGCATTTAATAGGAAAAACTACAGATGGTATTCATCAAATTTAGTAGGGTTACACCGCTATGGAAGAAGGGATTACATTCCAGTAAGGGAAGTATCAAGTTCCAAAAAGGGGTCCATTATCTATTTTAGTGTATGTCACCATCACCACAAGTGGCCTAATTGGGAATGATGAAATTGGGGGATTGACAATAACTATTTGGCCGCTAGAGGGCGTTAAATTAAATGAATTAAATGCTTGTTTCTGATTGGTTGACGTGCGCTGTTGGCTCAGCGGGTCCAGCTTCAGGTTGTGCTACCTACTTCCGGTCTTTTACGCCGAAATCCTACAGAATTCAATTTTTGCCGGCTAATTTGATCATTTCATCCGCAACGGAACCCCATACTCACAAAAACACTTATTTAAACTGATTTAAATCAATGTTTAAATCACTTTTCGATAGCGTTTTAGAACCGTTCGTTATAATGACGCATCATGATTTTGGCTGATTTCAATAGGAAAGCTATTCACTCGTGCCTGTCCTGGAAGTAGGCAGCACAACCAAAGTAATATAGCGCCGCTATCGGAGAATACCTTACAGCTCTTGTCGATCTCTCGAATTGGTCTTGGATACAAAATTTTGAATACCCAGTGAAACTTACCAGTGACTCTTTCCTTGATCTTGATGCTTGAAAAAAAAAGCCCTAGCCCTGCAACCGCGACTCCTCACATCGCTCGTCTTCTTGGGCAAGTAGTTGCTGCAGGAAAATAAAAACATGTACATATTTTTCATATTGTGTCAGAAAAATTGTGTTAAAAAAGACTGTTTGACCCTACAATGTAGATACACGCACCCGCTATCTCTTGCGATAGCGGTGCACCTACAAAGCTTCCTCTAGAACTTAATTTCCCTGTCTTATTTTTGTTTCTCAATGGAATTGTCATAGATCCAGTCTTGCATGGTCTACAATCCAATGAAAAAATCAGGAAAATTATTTTGACAACCCAAAAAGCATGCAAAGTTTCTGCAGATACTGCATGTTCATCGTTGGGTGTTTCGCGAGCAGTTCAACGCAGAACCCTATGCCAACAACACAAATAAACAGAAATTTGTTTTGTTATAGAGGTCTAGGGTAAATCGTTGTAATCAGCATTTTTTGACATATGGTTCTATATTCGCTGTCGAAGTTGGAATGCGCAGTGCGTGGCCACGCACGCGCACAGTACACATTCGCATATAATCCAACAGCACTTGATTGCCCTGCGTTAAGCATTTGTTTGAGCGGTTGCTATCGAAATGTACAAGCCGGGACCGGGGTCGTTACATAGGCTTCGACAGTGAATAGGAATTAAGCTTCATGCTTTGTACATGTAGGTGCAAGCAATAGCGGGTGCGTGTATCTAGGTTGACCCACAACAATGCAAAACAAAAAAGTTTGACCTTGCAATGATTCCAATGTCAAAATTACCGCTAAGACCAGAAAGATGCACAAGATATTATATTAAATATCGAAGCAAGACTGATCATATCAATCATCCACTTTGACTATTCTATTTTGACACACAGTGACAATTAATAATTTTGACATGGATTTTTACATTTCATTCAAATTGGCAACAATTTTTTTTTTTTACCGCGCCTGGCATATTGGCATTCAAAATCCATGAATGTCACCCATTACTATATGATACAAATTAAATCCCCCAAAATGAACAAATGATAATTTATATGGGTTTGAACTCAATTATTACCTTTATGTAATACCTAATTTCAAATTCTTTGACGTCAATTGAAAGTTTTCCACCTCCAAAATACATGATTCGATTGATAAATCCCAATGTACTCGCATATATTGGTGACACGGGTATGTGCCGCTACAAAGACCCCCTTTTTCAGAGCCAATTTTTAATGAGGGCCGCTCGGCCAGGCCGGGCCGGTTGCCGCTCTCAAGGGTTACAAAATTATTTCCCCCCTTCTCTCTTGCCGCTATGCGGCAAACTCCCAGTTCCCAAACCATATGGCATCCGAACAGTGCGGGCCGGATTTTTGCCCAGAACAGCCAATGCATGAGCGCTGTACATAGCCGCTGAGCGGCGCTCATAGACACATACATGTACACACGCAACAAGCGCGGTCAATTCATGACATGATGGTCGAATTCTGACCCAGACAAGAGTTCCATATTTATACCCCCTACTAAAACATGAGAAAAGAACTTGATAATAATTTATTTGATTTTTTTGGATGTTGAACTTGAAGAATAACACAATGTGTTATGTAATATTTAATGTTGTATCCATTAATGTTAAAGCTATTTCGTCCAGTATTTCTGTCCTAGCGTTAGGGTTAGGGCAACGCGGACTCAGGTGGACTTCCAGTAATTTAAAATTCTATCATAGTCTAGACATAGGTCTAGTCTAACTAAGTAGATTCTATCAGTCGTTAATTTTTTTCAGCGGGGGGGGGGGGGGGGGGGGGGGGGGGGGGGTGGGAGATCTAGATCTAGGAGTAGGCCTACTAGGACTAGACTCTATATGGAACTCTTGCCATGACCCGTTCTCAAGACCCTATTTTTCACTCAACTTGTTGCCCCCTAGGCTATAGCAAGGCTAAGCCCTATCCTTTACTCAGGGGAGGGCCAATTAGCCCTAGACTCTACTAAACTAGCTGAGTAGACCCTACTAGCTTAATTTGAGCTGACTGCGGCCAGGGGCGTCGCCAAAGGGGGGGTGGGTGTGGGGGGTGCGAAATTGCGCTGCCGTCGGGAAAACAAAGAAAAGGGGGAGGGGAAAAAAGAGAGGGAAAGGGAAAGAAAAGAAAGAAAGAAAAGGAAAAGAAAGGAAAGAAAGGAAAAGAAAGGAAAAAAGGAGAGGAAAGGAAAGAGAAGAGAAAAAAGAAAAAGAGGGAAGAGAGGAAAGAAAAGAAAAGAGAAAAGAAAGAAAAGGAGAAAAGGAAGAAAAAAAAGAGAAAAAGGAAACAAGGGGAGGTAAGAGCCTGAGAGAGGGGGAGGGGGGGTTGTTGGGTGGAGTCGTCTCGTCGAGGGAGCAAGAAAGACACGCATAAATAAATTGCTGTGTCGGGTCAGCCGTGTCGGTATTCTTGCTCGATCCTCGGGTACTATATAAATGCAGGAATTTGAAGTCGGCGAGATGTATAATGTCGGTTGGCCGACAATTTTTTTCCCCCTACTAACTGTGACGACATCGAGAGAGACTACAACTATAATACTTGTACTTTCTAGAAGTTTGACTTTCCTATAATATCAGCTAAAGAAATCAGAGGTTTAAAAGTTTCGGGTAAACTAAATTCAAACAAGGATTAGAGTCAAGAACGGTACAACGAATCGTCCTTTTTCTCTAAAATGTTAATGAAACGTCAAAGCTTTCGCGCTTTGCGCGGAACATTATTTAGATAAGAATTAAGAGTCGAGAACGGTACGACGAATCGTCTACTTTCTCTATATTGTGATGAAACGCCAAAAAGAAAACGTCAAAACTTCCGCAAGCGCGGGCGGGGGAAAAACTGAATTCAGACAAGGATTAGGAGTCAAGAACGGTACAACGAATCGTCCTTTTTTTCTAATATGTTAATGAAACGCTAAAGCTTTCGCGCTACGCGCGAGAGGGGGAAACTTCATTCAGACAAGGATTAAGAGTCGAGAACGTTACGACGAATCGTCTTCTATCTCTAATAGTTTAATAAAACGTCAAAGCTTCCGCGCTTTGCGCGATTGGGGGAAACTGAATTCAGACAATTAAGGATTAAGAGTCAAGAATACTACACTGAATCGTCTGCTTTCTATAATAATTTAATGAAACGTGAAATTTTCCACGCTTTGCGTGGAAGGGTGGAATCTTCATTCAGACAAGGATTAAGAGTCGAGAACGTTACGACGAATCGTCTTCTATCTCTAATAGTTTAATAAAACGTCAAAACTTCCGCGCGGGAGGGGGTAAACTGAATTCAGACAAAGATTAGGAGTCAAGAACGGTACAACGAATCGTCCTTTTTCTCTAATATGTTAATGAAACTCCAAAGCTTTCGCGCGAAGCGCGATAGAGGAAATCTGGATGCGGACAATTAGGGCTGATTAAGAATCGAAAACGGTACAACGAATTGTCTCCATTGTCTAATAATAAATACTACAAATTTAATGAAACGTCTAAGCTTCCGCGCTTCGCGGGAGGGGGGAAACTTCATTCAGACAAGGATTAAGAGTCGAGAACAGTAGAACAGATCGTCTGCTTTTTCTAATAATTTAAGGAAACGTCAAAGCTTCCGCGTTTCGCGCGATTGGGGGAAATTGAATTCAGACAATTAAGGATTAAGAGTCAAGAATACTACACAGAAGCGTCTGCTTTCTATAATAATTTAATGAAACATGAAATTTTCCGCGCTTCGCGTGGAAGGGTGGAATCTTCATTCAGATAAGGATTAAGAGACGAGAACAGTACCAAGAATCGCTTTCTCTCATAATTTAATGAAACGTCTAAGCTTCCGCGCTTCGCGGGAGGGGGAAACTGAATTCATACAAGGGTTTAGAGTCGAGAGCAGTACAACGAATCGTCTTCTTTCTCTCATAATTTAATAAAACGTCAAAGCTTCCACGCTTCGCGCGATTGGGGGAAACCGATTTCAGACAATTAAGGATTAAGATTCGAGAATACTACACAGAAGCGTCTGCTTTCTATAATAATTCAATGAAACGTCAAAGCTTCCGCGCTTCGCGCGGAAGGGTGGAATCTATAAAGTCAGATAAGGATTAAGAGTCGAGAACACTACAACTAATCGTCTGCTTCTCTCATAATTCAATGAAACGTCAAAGCTTCGCGCGGGAGGGCCCTTTGCGCGCTCTTTAAGTGATTCGCTTCTCACTACCCCCTCCCCCTAAAATAGGATCCAAACTAGATCTACGCGCCTGCATTTAAATATATAGTCTAGATCTAGCTATGATACTGACTAAGTTAACGAAATAATTCTTATATTTATGTCAAGGAAAATGACAATTTGCGCATACGCAAGTAGATCTAGATCTACTATAGATCTAGATTCTAGATAGACTAGACCTAGATCTAGATCTAGATCTAGTTCATAGAAAAAATAATTTAGCCTTCGGCCCCGGGTTGATACTAGTATTGATAGGGTTAAATTTGTAGACACAGGGACATTATTACATTTTGTCGGTAATTGGTGGCTAGTTTTGTCGGTAATCGGTGGTCTCTAACTTACACCCCCCCCCCCCCCCCCACTGAAAAAGGTCTAGCGACGCCCCTGACTGCGGCACACCCCCAACAACAAATAATTTGAGTAGACTCTACCCACCCCCGCCCCGGATAGATCTAGGCGGTACTACTACTAGCCTAGATCTAGTAGTAGATCTAACTTAGATCTAGACCTAGGTCTAGATGATACTTGATAGATCTATCTAGACTAGTAGGGTCTAGTATAGACTCTAGTAGAGTCTAGTACTAGACTCTTCTACTTCTAGATTCTAACTGTTAGACCTCTAAATTGGAGAATTTTTTTTTGCCAAGCCAAGGCCCAAGACGTACTAGTACTAGATCTAGTATGAGAATCACACAGGGTCGACTCTCTAGACTATGCTTTGCTGGAGTGGATCTAGTCTAGACTTTTCTACTCTAAAGTCAATTGGCTACCACTCTCATGAGTGTCTCAGCCCCATATATGCAGGACTAGTAGTACGGTAATAGAAGTAGTCTATGAATATGATTAACAGAAAAGAATAAAATATCCACATATAGACCCTATAGGCCTACCTGAAGTTCAGACAACCGTCCCGACTTGCATGCTGCTATAGCCTGCATACCGTACCGTACCGGCGCGGGAAGCTTGGGCGGCATGCAACGCCTGGGCTACATTCGTGGAGGTCCTAGTAACATCTTGATCTGCTGTGTAGCGGTGTAGTTAGGAGACACCTTTTGCTATATATTACGGTGCAAGGGAGACAATTTTATCGGCAAATATATGTATATATTACTGCGCATGTGCGAAGATCGCGATATCGCATTGGAATAAACTACCTTAAAAAAGAGGGTGCTTTTCATACCATAACGGATATATATTTTTCTTTAAAAAAATAATGAGCAAGATGCACATTATTACGTTGTTAGAATCACATCTGATCTTAGAAATGAATATCCCACACATATACGATTGAGAAAGCGAGATATATCCCATAAACTTTGTGTCTCTCAAATGCACTGTTATATCAACGCCGAGTATACACCCCCATATTTGAAAGGGTTTCTATTTTAAGTTGATGTACCCTTGTATCAAATGGACGGTGCGAACATTGAGCTACAATGTTAACATGAATATTCATGAAGCATTTTGGACACCGTTCCTTGTAAAACTGCATGTATGGGGTGTTGAAACGTAAAGGAGACACGAAAATGTCTCCCTAATCTGGGTGTCTCCTATAAGTAGGTATAATAACACCGGAATGTCTCCCAAATGTCAGATCTTTATATATATATATATATATGTATATATATATATATATATATATATATGTATATATATATATATATATATGTATATATATACATTAAAAAAGAAAGAAAGAAAAAGGAAAAGAAGACATGATAAAATCTACTAAAAGTATAGGATAGAAAAAAGGTGCATCCATAAAAGCCACAAGGGCTTGATGAATGGGCGTCATAATATAATTAACACAATTGTATGCCTAGTTGTTGCACAGTTTGTGGGCCTTGTATGGACGCCTATGGGATTTCGTGAATTCAGTAGTGAATGGGTAGAGAAGTGAAAAAAATAAGATTATAACACTCTTTAATTTTATAATTTTTTTTATTTCTCTTTGAATATTTTTAGGCCATTTGAGGTTGTAGTAGACCCGACGATGCACGAGATAACACACTTTTGCCTTCCAAAACTCAAACCACTACTGCAACACAGTACAGTGTTTTTTCACGAGGTGAGTTGAATCTCTTATTATCACTCATTGTTTTTCATCTTCCTCATCACGTTCTTCGTTGTCATCATCAACACCAACAGTATCATCTTTATCATCATTACAATTTCCTTCTTCTTCTTCTCCTTCTCCTTCTTCTTCTTCTTCTTCTTCTTCTTCTTCTTCTTCTTCTTCTTCTTCTTCTTCTTCTTCTTCTTCTTTTACTTCATCATCATCATCATCATCATCATCATCATCACCACAATCATCTTCATCACCCCCATCATCATTATCGTCATAATCTTCTCCTTTTTCATCATCATCATCATCATCATCATCACCACCACTACCACCATCACCATCATCATCATTACGACCACCACCACCACCACCCAACCACCACCATCATCATCATCATAGTATCCACATTATTCTGACATTTCACAAGTTGTTGAAATATATATAGACCTTTGAAGAGAAGCCAAAATGCATTTGCGTTACAAACCTTTCAATATCTCTTA